ATCACAATTAATATTTTTATTCTGTCGACACTTTATTCACCTTTAGTCACTTACAGTTATTTACTCACGTATTCAGTCAATGTAATTTTAAAACTGTTTATATACTGTATATTTTAATTTAAAAAATTTTTTTTAAATCTCATTCTTATTGCCTGTTTATGCCCTGTCCTTATTTTTAGCATCATGCTGCTCTGTTGTATCTTAATTGCCCCTTGGGGATAAATAAAGTCTCTCTGATTCTGAGTAAATATCCTTCATTTTTATTCTATATTAATCTAATTTCATTTTGAATGAGCAAACAGACTCGAGAAAAAAGGGAAAATATACGCACTTAACATGTTTATTGAACATCTCGAACATTCATGTTAACAAAATGTATCCACTCTCTCTCTCTCTGTCACTCTTGGGGAGGCGCTTCAAGTCCTTGAAACCAAACCTTTTTAATGCGCGTATTCTCAACAATAATTAATAGGTCAGTAGTTTGTTGCAATCCACTTGGCAATTGTGTCAGTCAATATGTCAGAGATAGACTTACTGAGTCCCCGATGCTCCGTGAGTGGTTTGTGGCAAGCTGGCTGACACGTTAGCCAAAGTCCGAGCAGCATTCCCGATTAATGTGTGCTTCGCGTCAATGTGATATTTTAAGCTGGAAGTGCTTTGGTGAAAAGAAAATTCCTTCTTGCACAATGTGCATAATACTTTATGTCGGTCGACTGTTCTGTCTTGTTATTTTTTTAATACTCAAATTTCCCATCGATAGGGCAAATGTACATTTATCATCTTCCATATTGAGTTGATTGTTTCAGCTGCCCGTCACTACCAGATCTACTGCCCATTTGCGCACGTGCGAGGCTAACTCTACTTGGACATTGTAATCGCGTTGACCGTAATGGCGGATTAGTTTACGTTAACACGTTAATTTTGACAGCACTAGTATATACTATCAAAAAGGCATGAGACCTGTACGTTAGAGGTTTTGGCTAATCTTTTAAGACAAACTACTGACACCGTTGTTGTATAGGCAGTGTAAATTGTCCACATAATGCTAGACAGGTCCAGGCTCTTATGTCACCTCTGGACAACTCACCAACATATGTGTGAAGTGGGTGCGAATGTGAGTCGACAAATAACTGTAGTAGGGCACACTGGGAAAGCTGGTGAGAGGGGAGATCAATCTGAGTTTTATGAAGTGTGTCTCCCGGTGCGCAAATAATCTGCAGGAGTGTCAACAGAAATCTCTGAGCACAGATTGCCTCCGAAAATAACAAAAAACAAACTGAGCTACTGTTTATACATAACTGAGGCTCAGGACCTGTGAAATTTGTGCTTCCAATTGTTTGGGACAGTCATTACCGCAGTTATATTGAAGTATTATGCACATATACTTATGTACACACATATATCTTTCTCGCTTTATGGAGAAGTTCATGTCATATTTTGCACCTGCTTCCCTCCCTCCTGAAACTGTCCATGGTGCTGATTTTGTTTTTCTACTTGTTTTAATGATGAATATACCTCTTCCAAAGCACGTGTAAAGAGTACACAGGTGGAAAGACTTACTGAGTCTGATTGTAGACTTTTTATAAAAGAGTATAGCCATGAACAATAACTGTATAAGAAGACCTGGAAAGTAATAGCCTAGTTTATAGAAAGCACATTATTAAACTTGGGCTTTGGCCAAGAAAGCCCGTGAAAAATAAGTAAGGTTGCTTAAATTAATGGGCAAATCGAAGTGCTTTTAACCACTTGTTGCCTACTGTCCTAGAAAATATGCAGTTGTGTCTGAGTTATTACCAACCTAAAGTGGCTGTAAATACACATTGAGTCATTTATGGATACTTTTAGTATTTCGACAGTATTTTTTTTTACTGTATTTACTACCTGCTTACTATTAGTAGAAATAACCCCCACAAAATATTCTATAATTTTATATATATATTACATAGCTAGCCATTAATTTAATCTGCGTTTGTACCTACCAATGGAGAGGTACAGTGTTCCTATATGACTAAAGTGTAGAATTTTATTTATTATTATTATTTATTTACAATGTGCTGCCAACATAATGTTAGACACACACACACACACATACAGGCTTGTCATGCCCTATAAAGATAATGCATAGTCCCTATATAGTGTTTTTATTTGTGTCAGGATTTTTATGTCTGAAAGTTCTTGCATGTCAAATGTTGAGTGGCAACATAGTAACAGAATCAAGCTTAGTGTATTTGAATGGGAACCTTCTTTGTCTTCACAAATGTTTATGGCTTTATATTAGGAGGGGGGGTGGGGTTGTGTATTCCTCCCATGAATATAATAAGAAATTTGAAGTTAGGACCAAGAGGAACGCAGATCATTAAAGAGGGGCTGCGTGGATCATGTCAGTATCTGTTTGCCTGTCTCCCACACAAACCTTTTTTATTACATGTTGACATGAATTTCACCTTCATCTGTCTGTTTTTCTTTTTCTCCATAGTTACTTAGACAACACTGCTTAAGTGTGTTTGATCTCAAGGTATTGCAATTATTCTTACTTGGAAGTTATTATGAGCAAGATCAAACATTCTCAATTTGTTTTTGATTGCAGAGATTAGTTAAAGTGAACTTTGTTTCCAAGGATAATAAACAAAATTAATAAAAGTCTTAAACGAAATGTAAAAGTTATTTGTGAACTAAACCAGCCTTTGTGTTTGTGAGGGTTTTATTGAACATGTCAGCTCAAAGGAAGCTCGCTGTACTGGAAAGACGAAAAGGCCTCATACGCGAAGGGATATCTAGATGCTGTTTAAGAGATTTTATGGCATTCACTCAGCCTCTACATTTCTGTAGTGAAATGTCAAAACAGTCTACACTTACTTACTTCTCAAGCATACTGCCTGTACAAAGCTCTTTATCATGCACTTTTCTTTCAACCGTTCACACAAACACTGACACACCAATTACAGCAGAGAAACTTGGAGTTCCGTATTTTACCCAAGGACACTTGAATGAATTTAGAATAAACTTTTTACTGTTTTACTGCATCTGTGGTTTTGTGTATGGCCTTCCGGGGCCTGGCCACACAGCCCAAGAAAGACATCCACAAAGCAACTTTAGCGCAGATTATGCTAATAACCACATCTCACCAACACACACCTTCTTACTTTTTAAGGAAGTGGTGTTAAAAAGCAATTCATGACAAGATTGCGTAAAAGAGTTTAGTGAAATCACCCAGGAAGTCTCTTTGCTGAAAATATAGAGGGGGTTTAGGATAAGAGAGCAAAGATGCTTTTACAGTTATTTGTTCTTATGTATGTTTTCACTATTACCCAAAAATAAAGTAAATCTAAGAATTCTTCAGTCCATCACACTTTTACTCCAATCCTTTCATTTTAACTCTCCTTCCACATCTCTCCCCTTCTCTGTGCCCTTCCGAGCATTAGCATTCCTTGGGCATGTATTGTGTACAATATGATACACTGCAAAAGGGCTGATAACCAACAACAATCCCAGAATCATTTGTGCACATTCGCACTGCTGTCACACACTGTTAGCGAGACAGAATACAGAAGTGAGAGAACAATTGCTGGGGAGAATCGTGTACCTCTTTGTCAGTAAGGCGCACAAACTACAGATTTGGAGACAAAAAAGAAGAAGGAAAAGATAGAGATTAGATGAAAAGTTTATTGCTCAGAGTTATGTGAAACAAGAAGCAGAAAAAGTAGGAAAAGGCATAACTCTTGCCAGAAGAGCTTCACAGATTTCATTTAGCCTTAGGTGATGCAAATAAGATTTCCTCTTCTGTTTAGAAACTGTTAGCATAGGTGAGAATATTTTTTAGAAAGGAATTAGCTCAAGGAAAAGCATGGTCTGAAGATTAGCTTTCAACCATTTAGATAATCTGTATAAAGACATAGAAAGATATCTTGGCTTCTCTTTGTATTATGATTATGATAAATTCAAACTATTCCAGTATACAGTTGTATGTTGTGATGAAGAAAAGATTAAGGTTACATTATATTAATTTGGCCATTTTAAAGAGAGATTTTTCTTGGCTTATAACAGTTCCTTGCAGGGGTGATGGGGCATTTAACAAGCAACAAGTCTCTGTTACCTTGTTGGCGAAATTGCTACATTTGCCTGTTATTTTGGACTATTTTAATACAGCGATTATTGCCCTTTGGCTCATGATGAACCTTAAGACCCGAAAATTGACTAATTTACTTATTTAAGTTGCAAATGCAGATTGCATCTGTGGTTCATTTCTGGACTTTGTCATTCTTTAAAACATTTCATTTCCCTACATATATAACTGTTATCCCATTAATTTGCATTATTTTCCCAGAGACCGTGTTTACTTCTTTTTGATTCTGCTAGTGTAAATGTTTTATCTCTCTGTCCTTTCAGGCATGTCGCTATGGCCATGTGCAGCATTTGGAACACCTGCTATTCTATGGAGCCGACATGAGTGCTCAAAATGCATCTGGAAACACGGCTCTGCATGTGTGTGCGCTCTACAACCAGGTACAAACACTTGTTTCAGGAAAAACATAAATAACATTTATGGACTATTTGCTTGGAGAATGAAGGGAATTGCATTTGTGTTGTAGCCCTGTGCGTTACACAGTTTACATCCAGTGTAGATGTTTAGTGCCAGTACAGTAGAGAAATGTCCCATTCAGTAGCAGGGTGAAAAATCAAGGACATGGTGGTTAATGGCTCTTTGATGCATTTACATTATACGACAGGCACCAGAGCTAGCTTCTCAGCTGAGTGTGTTGGCTTTCTTAATACGCTTTAGATTAGTGATTTTTGTTGTCTAAAAAAACTAAAATTATACATAAATATTTTATTAGGAATAACTCAAAAATCTTGCACTGTACATCTGTTGTCTGTGAAGTAGGTCTGAGAAATCCAGCATGTGCACATTAAGCACAATCCTTTATTGGACTTCATTGTAATGTTTTTCGTATCGGTAAATACTCAATAACCCATAAGGATGAAGTAAACAAACATATGCATAAAACAAAAGAAAAACTATTTACAAAGGATTTCAGATATTTTCAGACACTTGGGAGCCAGTGCATTCTTGAGTCTTCTTGGTTAAGCCTCTACAGGCTTTACACACCTGGATTTGGTCAGTTTATTTTAATCTTCCTGACAGATCCTCTCAAGCTCCATTTGCCCTTTGGCTGCACCAGTCACAGTCAGAAACTTGTCCTGAAGCCATTTCATTGTTGTCTTGATCTTTTACTAATTGATAGAGTTCTGTTATCCTTTCAACTGCCCCAGTCTCTGTAGAGGACTTCTAAACCTCATTTAGGGCAACTACTGGGTTTTTGGTTGACTCCTTGACTGTGACCCTTCCTCTAAGCTACTCAGTTTGTCTAGGAATATGCTGCAGGATCCAGGCTTAATCTTTTTTCCGATTTATTGAGGCCTTTGTGGAAGAATCAAAGGATAAGATATATCCTTGCTCTGATCAGTGCCTTATTTACCAGTGTGTGAACTGTGGTACCTTTACAAAAACAGGGTCTCCTTTTCTATACTGTACCCTACTAGCTGTTTGACCTGCTCCCCTCAGGCAGGAGGCTCCGGTCCATTCGCACCAGAACCTCTCGCCATAAGAACAGTTTCTTCCCCTCTGCTGTCGGACTCATGAACAATAACCATATGACTGTCCCCGCCACTAACTCATGACCCTACGCTGTGTCACTGCATCATTTCATGTTTGGCACTGATCACCACCTGCACTCATGTATATATCTTTCTACGCAGCACTTTTAATTCTTATTCTCATGTATATATCTCATGTATATCTCATGCATATATCCTTCTACGGAGCACTCTTAATTCTTATCTCATGTATATCGCATGTATATCTCATGCACATATCTTTCCACGTAGCACTTTTAATTCTTATTCCTTTTATTTTTTCATGTCCATTTAATCGCAATCTATGACAGTATGTTTGCACTGAAGCACCGCAGCAATTTCCTAATGTTGTAAACCTGCTCAACATTTGGCAATAAACCCCTTTCTGATTCTGATTCTGATTCTGATTCTGAATACCATAAAGCATAGGTGTCAAACTCTGGTCCGCGGGCCAGATTTGGCCTGCAGCCTGATTACATTTGGCCCGCGAAGCCATACCAAATTACTATTAGAGCTGGCCTACTGGTATTATACAGCTAATATATATATTGTTTAGTATTAAGCTTTGCTTGTTCCATATTCAGTTTTCCAGCAAAACCTATTTGAGTCCATAACAAAGGATTCATTCCTATATCTGGAGGAAGATTTTTTTTTTTAAATAAATATTAATGTTAGCCCGCGACTTTGTTCCAGTTTTGAATTTTTGGCCCACTGTGTATTTGAGTTTGACACCCCTGCCATAAAGCATGCAAAAGGTGAAGGATTTGAATACTCTGACGATATATTCTTTCAGTGTAAGTATTTGTCTATGCCTGTTTTCCACGAATAGTAGAAGCAATGATTGTGCTACAGCACTGAACGCTGTGCCACTCAACTTTCTTGGTCAAGGACATATATTAAGCTCAGAGACTCCAGGGATGTTACTTACAGTGTCTGTAAAGTTACAGAACAGCCACCACCACGCTGCATCGAGTGTTTGTGTGTGTTTCATAACGTCGACGGATTCATAACGTCGAAACCACAGGAATAATCCACCTGGCAATTTTCTCCATTGTATGAATTTTGATGCCAGGCTAAAAAGGCCAAATGAAGAGAATTGGTCTAAGTGTGGTTGTGCCACTGAAGTGAGCAACAATTAGAGATATTTTATCAGTTGTGGGTTACTAATACAGTTTGCATTAAAGTATGCACCAGGCAGGGATAGAATGTAATTTAATTCTTGATGCTTTGCAGATCGTGTTTCTAAACAAAGATGCATTTGAGCCTGCTTATAATTGCCATACAGCTTCCATGCCCCGTCTATTGCTCTTAACGCTAACCCCACGTTTCTCATACTGAAGATGTCAGTGCAGCGTATATAAACATGCCATTCACTTCTTTTGGTATACCTCGCTGGCATTGGGTTGGACTTTTGCCTTCACAGCAGTTTTAATTCTTTGTGGTGTAGATTCAATAAGGTGCTAGAAACATTTTCTCAGTGATTACTACTGCCATGATAGCATCACACAGTTGCTGCAAATTTACTGCATATCCGTCCTGTGAATCTCCCTTTTCAGGCTTTTTGAATACAGTGAACACATTGTCACGTTCAAGAAACCAGTCGGATATTATCTGAGCTTTGTGAGATGGTTCGTTACCTTGCTGGAAGCAGCCTTTAGAAGATAGGTGTGGTCATACATGCATAGGGATGGACATGGTTCAGGCAGACTGATGTATTTAAACAGTGCTTATTTGGTGATGTTTATTTTCCAATCTTCTGTTGGCTCCATTTCCTGTTTTTCAAGGAAAAGGTTTTCAAGGTTTTTCGTGTTATAACAAGTGGATTTTGAGTCGCCTTCTGACCAACTCAGAGGAATCATTCTCCTCTGACCAGCATTAACAAAAGATTTTTGCACTGCACTGATGCTCAATTTAAACTTCAGCTGGTCATCTTGACTATGTCTAAATGACTAAGTGCAATGTACTGCTGAAATTTGATTGGCTGAGCAGTTATAATGTGTCCAGTGAGTACGTATTCATAGATTGTTTAATTTTTAGAATAAAACTTTGTCTGACAGACTAGGCATTATATACTTATTTAGCAAATCTTACTCAAACAGCAAATGGTGCATGTAGGGCACTATTTCCCACTTCGGGTTTGCACGCATTAAATATTTATGGCAGGAGAATTGTGTACCAGTGTTAAATAAGCTACAGTTTCCATTCCCGTGTTAATAAATATCACCCAGTCTAATTTCACTGTTTCCAACAGTTTCAGATAATTGAAAACTTTTATCAGGCTATAGTAAGATAGTAAATACTTGTTTATAGAATTAGTTTGTATTTTGTTCTGGTGAAACCAAACAGAAAAAAAAACAAAACAAAACTGCACAAATCCAAGTATAAATCTGCGAATACGTGCCTACCAGCTTTCATAGTGCCAGATGGCTGTGAGTTTTAGTGAGTTTGACATCCGTGTAATCTACAAGAAAATCTGCATGTAGCTTCAAATCTAGATATAGTAGCTTCAAATAAAACAATATTTTAATAACAATAATAATAATATTAATAATAATGAGGATAAATGCTTGATGTTAACGTGCAGTATTTCGTAATATGAATGAACAAGAAGTAGATTAGGGTAGTGGGAGATGAGGGCAGTATAAACCGGAATTCTCCTGAGCAAACCATGTAGATGTAGAGCAGCCAGGTGCTTTTTGGTTTAACCCCATGAAGCCTGAACCTTGAAAATTCTAACTTTTGAAAATGGAGAGTTTATAGAACCAACTGACAAATTTGTTTTAAATAAAATTAAGATGCTTTTGTACAGCTTTGCTGGGAAGCAGAGATTTGATTAACATTAAATAAGTGCTTTCTCCTCTCGCTTTCTCTCTCCCAAATGAACTGAAACGTGTGTGTTTGTGTGTATGTTGGAATGTTGTGGTTTAACTTAGTGCTGCACAGCTAATTTCAGTCGTGATGATCAACATCACATTATCTGTGTGTGTGTGTGGTGAACACAGTATAAATACTTAATACTTATTGTTTGTAACACATTCGTGTGATTTAAGGCACTTCATGTTCACTGCTCATAAGAGTGTGTGTAATGTATTACTCATGTAGTGGGAACATGGACCTGTTTACACAATTACATTGTCACGATCTCTCTTTTTAGACCAGGAAATTCCCAAAACATCAATCATTAAAATTTAGTATGAAAAAAAAATAGTATGAAGACTTGGTTTGAGGTTTAGATCTTTACCTTTGCTCTGAATTAGAGGTATCATCCATCCATTTTCTCCTACTTAACCATTTCAGGGTTGCGTGGAGTAGGGGGCTTGAAGCCTATTCCAGCTATCACTAGATTTAATGCACCCATTTTTATATCTATCGTTTGTCTTATTTTTCCAGCGTTTTTCTTCTTTCAGCAGTGAAAATGTCACGTAGCTGGTCACTGTTCTTTAAAAGGTCTAAATAAAAAAGCAATATCTTGACCTAAGCTTGTGTAATTTAAGGGCCGGTGACTTGGAGATTTTAGTTGTATGAAGGTGGTATTTTGCATGGCCGCACTAAATATGCAGGAATGATAATGGGATACAGTAATTCTCAATCTGTGACCACAAATGTATTCCAACATCATTCCTACTTTGCACCTTAGCTATGAGAGTGGACTTTTTTTTCTTCTTTATTTTTTTCATCACTTCAAAAAAAAAAATCAAGCTATAAACTTAACAGTGGTTTTGAAGAATTACACCACTAGCAAACAGTAGTTAGCTATATTTTCAGGAAAATATTGCCAGTATAAAATCCTCTGAACTGATTGAAACTCATGTGTGCCTGCTTTCGAAGAGGGGAATGCAGCCACAGACAGACTGGGTAAATAGTTTAATTTACAGTTACTTGTGCAACTTTCTTTTTCTGCAACTTTAAAGTCTTTAGTTTTGTAATGGATCTTGTCCAAGCTCTTGTGATGAGGACTGCTGTTATCCTGCCACTCGAGACGAATACGACGTTGAGCTGATCAATCCCAGGAAAATTGTGTCGAAGGGGGGTTCAGAAGGCCAAAAGCAGGCCAAAGTAAGAAATGCACTGCTACAATCAACTGGGAAACCAGTTGTTCTAATGTCAATAGATCCATACAGATGGATGGACAGAAAGATGAAGATGGAGTTTGCTGAATAAAAAGATTCAGTAATCATCAATAAAATGTACTTGAGCACTGCCCCGAAGGTCCTATTCTTTGGGTCTGACTGGCTATTTAAGTTACTTAGTGGGCTTTCAGCTTGGCAGAAGCAGTGAATGAAGGCAGGGCTCACATGCTTAGGAGGTCATGGGTTTAATGATTTAGAAGGGACAAAGTACTGTAGAAAATGGCAACACTGATGAGTGAAATTAAACAGAGGCTGTGCAAGACACAAACGGATCTATCCAAAGCAGTCAGACCAATGATATCCTGCTAGACCGTTAATTATTATATTGTTGTTGCACAGAAGAATAACATATTAGCTTGATATAAATGTTTCAATTTTAAATCCTCTTTGATGTTAATCACAAACAACTGTAAAAGCATGCTCACTTTTCAGTGAAGGATGCCAGATCTGCTGCTTCAATTTTAAGGGCAAAAGGAATCCTCAAATGTATAAACATGTCTGTTAGAGGAACCATCTGTCACACTTTTTACACATGACTGACCTGATCGTTAGTGAAGAGTACTTGACTTAAATCACTTCTGTTTGCATGTCTATGAATCTAAAGTAATCACATCTAACAAACAGCAGTGAGAACTGGATTATGGATTATTGTAGGAAGACTTGCAGAGAAGAGGAACACATGTGGTCCACATTGTAATTAGACTGTGTGTGTGTGCGTGCCTGTGCATGTGCATAATGACTTTAGGTTAATTAGAACACACGTTTGAGTCAAGACACATACTCGAGGTTAATACCAATATAACATGCATGTTTACCTTGCAGGTTAAATGCCAAAGTTGCATTAATAAGCAATAATTAATAATGCTAAAGTTCAAGTCCACCTGGTCTGTGTGACAGACACTTATTATCGCTGCTTTCTATCTCCTTATAGAGACTGCTTGGAAAAGTTTTGAAACTTTTGAACTAGCCTGGCCTTGTTGTGTCATTCCTAGAAAGAAAGACTGCAGTGCGCGTTATACTCTAAACGACCTTCACATAGTCTTTGTATCTTCCTCTGTTCTTTCACTTGTAGCATTCCTCTCTAACCTTGATATATATTCTCCATTCTTCTCTGTTGTCACACCAAAGAGATGATGGAAATATATTTGTACATTTTTCATATGCACTCGAAGGCCTGCGTGAATGAAAACCTGTACCCATTTAGCGTTCTCGAAGAATGATGATTATGAGGCTTTACACTGAAAAATGTCTGCGTTTATTTACCTGTGTATGTGTGTGTGTGTATCTGTGTGTGTGCAGCTGCCTGAGGTATGGGTGATTAGCATTACTTAATCTAATAGCCATAGGCATTTATCTATATAGCTTTTTTGGCAATTTTAGCCTCAAGTGTGTTTTAGATATTAGCATAAAGAGTAATCATATATTATGCATATAACACTCGCTCTGTTTTTAAATATACTCGGTGTATTCACCATCAGTGTTTACAGAGACTTTTCCTATTTCTTTGTGTTTCACCTACAGCCGTACTCAAATGAGTACATTTAGCAATATCAGCCAGAAAGTGTGGAAGCTCCAGTAAATATAGTAAACAAAAAGTTGTTGCACAAATACTTGTGGCATGACATTTTGTAGGTGGTTTGAAAAAGTATTTAACATAATATATAGCTTGTTTGAAAAGCAACAGATTAAAGGTGTGATCCATCACATCCCCCGCCAATACTAGCATCTGTGTTTTACCAGAAGAGGGTGCTCCAGTGCATACAGGAGTGGATCATCTGCTATAAACAGCCTGAAGAGTAAAACCACATGGATGTATTAACTGAACAACATAATAAATGAATCTGGGCATGCATGTTCCTGAATGTGTGTGACTCACTAAGAGTCACTAGAGTCACTTTGCTGATTTTAGTGAAAGGTTAGTCCTATTAATTCTGCTCTCTGTGTTAAATTACATATCGACCCTCAACCAGCCAGCACATGGACACACAATCCTGTCAATTTACAGCTGGGCTTTCTTGCCTAGGGGTGTGTACTCATTTACACACAGTATGTCACACTAGTTCTACACAGAGTAAAACGGAAACTTGTTGTTGTGAACTAATCAGGAAGTCTGTTCTGTAATTGTTAAGATTCCTTCCTCTTTTTCTTCTTCTCCTTCTTTTAATTATTATTAAATTAAGCCCATGTTTTTTATACCCACACTTTTTGAATTCGAATTAATCTGTTGCTTTTCAAACAAGCTATATATTATGTTAAATACCTTTTCAAACCACCTACAAAATGTCATGCCACAAGTATTTGTGCGACAACTTTTTTTTTTACTATATTTACTGGAGCTTTCACACTTTCTGGCTGATATTGCTAAATGTACTCATTTGAGTACATTTGAGTCCAAAGACATGTGTGTAGCGCAGCCAGACACAGTGCAATTAGTAAATTCAATATGTACTAAACATTTGCTTAGATGGAAACGTCCAAGACGTAATACACAAAGTCATAAAAATTATTATTTACTGAAGCATTTACAAAGTGGAAACATTTATATAGAAATACAGTATGTAAAGTTTGTACAATTAAAACATACATGAAAGTCAGTATTTGGTATGACAACCTTTATTCTTGAGCACGGCCTATATCTTGTAATTTTTTTTAACCAAACCTCAGAAATGGTTCTCCAGGTTTTTTAAACTGTACTTCTCTTCTCTGGAGTTTGGCTGTCTTTTGTTCCATTCTCTGCCAAGATGACCTCACACTGCTTTAATAATGTTGAGATCCTTGCTCATTTTCTGTCAAAGTTAGATTCATCCCTCCATGTTGCCACTGATTTTTAGTCCGGTTCTTGTGTAATTTGCCAACTCTTTGCCCTATCTGCCTTATTTCCTTCCTTAACAATGGCTTCTTGAAAGCTACCCTTCCATTGAGACCATTTCTGATGATGGCTCACTGAACAGAAAATCCATCAACTGAAGGACCAGATGCTTCTCTCATGTTCTGTTTAAGACTTTGTTGGATTTGTTTTCCTTTTCTTTCTTTTTTTCTTTTCTTTTTAAAGATAGGACCTTCAGATACTGTAGTTTCCACGCCAAGATATGTTAAGTTTCTATTAGTGCTTTTAAAATCACTGTCTTAGTGCAAATATACAAATTATCTGTCTGGCATTTTTAGTAGATTTGCTGAATAAATGGGAACAAATGACTTGACAGTAAAGTGCCTAAACATACAATTTGAAATTGGGTCTTTGCTAAGTTGGCTGTTACATGTAGACACATTTATACTTAAATGTTTCATAGGTTAGTGTTAAGTTGCTTAACAAGCAAAAAAAAAAATGCAAATATTGCTCTGAAAATGCTCAGGACTGGACTGAAAAAAGCAATCAGTGTCCAAATAAAACCTTTGAAGGCCTTCGAATCATCTTAAAAACTATTGCACAAAACCAGTAAAAAAAAAAAATACAAGAAAGTCTAGAAAAAATGTTGCCTTGTACTGTATCACTGCAATGATGTGGATATAGGTGGGGATTATTTCACATATTGTGGAAACATGAATCTGTATGCACAGTCACACTATGAGGACCTGTCTGTCTTGGGTTTTAAAAGCCATAATGTAGATCAAGAAAATTTGGAGTGAAGCCTTAGTGTCAGGGCTAGACTAGTAGCAGTTATGGTTAAGGTTACTGTATGTCTATAGGAATAGTGTAAGCCTTCTGAAGTGGGAACACGGCATATGTCTGTGGCTAACTTCTCTTTGTACTTTAGATCATATTTTTGTTTAGATTCAACCTGCAGCAGTTAAAGTGTTCTTCCACCAACGCTTCTCGTCATGAAATAGTGCCTTAGTTGTCAAAAACTCATTGAATTCAAACATGCCTGCCTTGTATTTTTTAAAAAGCACCTCATGGAACGGGCTTCTTCCTGAATTCACAAATTCATGTTTTAGCCACAGGCGTTTCTCAAGAGACATTCTTGTTCTTTTTTTACACTGTCACCTCTGTCAGACTCATTTTCAAACAGTTTTGTAAGTCTGTTTCTTTTAGAAGTGATCAAAGAGGTTGCTTGTAATGCTGCCTCTGGCAACCACTGTCATGCTGCATAGCACACAAATTATTATACTCCTCTTGATATTTGACTTTCTAAAACCATGTCCGAATTGTTCAAAGTTTTTCCTAGTAAATTTGAAATAATTCATCTTGCCTCCATGGCGTGATGTGCTTTTCTTGGTCGTCCTTTTTCAGTAGCATGTGATGTTAGAAAACAGATTCTGGAGACATACAATTTTCTTTGGCCCATCGCTGATACGCCCATTAATAGCTGCACTGGTTAACAGACGAGGAGTTAATTTTAGGTGCACTTTGTCTGATCTGACATTCAGAAAACTATTTTTACTAATGCAGACAGTAGATGTGAAGCAATTCGTTAAACATGACTTATACTTCTTAAACTGTCCGTGTCTAATTGAGAGGACAATTAGAAGCTGCAAAACAACATCCATAAGTGCTCCAAAGAATCACATATGTAAGTGATTGCTGTCTATCTAGAATCTGTGTTTGGGAGTCATCATGTGTATTTGTTTGCATATCTGTATGCTGTTGCATACAATAGAATGAAGGACAGTGACATGTAATACTCCTATAGGTAAACACACACAACTCTCTGTTGTCCTTCAGGAGAGCTGTGCACGGGTTCTCCTGTTCCGGGGAGCCAATAAAGAGATAAAGAACTACAATAGCCAGACTGCTTTTCAGGTATGTGAGGTATACAAAAGGTTTACACACTAGTACGTCACAGCTAAATTAACTGAAATATGCAACCTGATGTTGGAGTCCAGCCTTTATAGCTGATGAAGCAGAAAATTGATACTGACATACTGACATTTGTTTTATGCACATCAAATATAATTTGCTTGTACATAATGGAGGTTGGTCAGTGTAGCGCTATACAGATTTTTACACAATCTCCTTCAACAAAGTGTTGAAAGTGTTGAATATTTAGTGAAAAAGTTAGGACGGAAATGGTTTTTCATGTTGTTCCTTTCCACTCCCTGTACGTTTCTCTGTTCCCATTTCCAGGTGGCTATTATAGCTGGGAACTTTGACCTGGCAGAAATCGTTAAGGTCCACAAAGCATCAGATGTTGGTAAGTTGACAGAGTGAACTTGGGGTATATAAAAGTAGAATCTGAGGCACAGCCTTCAGCTTTCAGGCCTTCTGTGGAACCAGTTTGGATTTGGGAGACAGGCACTGTCTCTACTCTTAAAATTAGGCTCAAAAATGTCCTTTTTGATGAAACTTATAGGGCTGGATCAGGTGACTTTGAATCCTCCTCTAGTTACATTGCGAAAGGCCTAGGGTGTAGGGGGCTTGCCATGATGCACTAAGTGTTACTTCTTCACTCATCTTTTTTCACTCACTACACCAATCTGCATTTAAGTTATTAATGATTATTAAACTCAGGCTCTCTTCTATAGTGTGTCTTTTGTCCGATCTCCTTACCCTCACCCCTTACCAGTCATGGCAGATGACTGCTCCTCACTGATCCTGGTTCTGCTTGCAGTTTCTACTTGTTAAAAGGGAGTTTTTCCTTCCCACTGTTGCCAGGTGCCTGCTCATAGAGAGTCGTCTGATTTCTGTATTAATGTGGGCTTTTCCTTACAATACAGAGCGCAGAACTGAGTGAATAGAATTGAATTGAATTAAGTGAAGGTAGACTTGGAGAGGCATCAAGCTCAACCTAGATAGCGAAGGAGGTCATGGAAAGTGATTATAATTTAAATACAGTGGAAAATACAAAGAAGAAAAAGTGAAAGAGATGAAAATGTAACAGAACTGGAAAATGTTCCTGAGGATTATTGGATCCCTGCTGAGTTTAGTAGTTTCTCTCTCTGAAATAAAGTACAGGAAAACTCTGCCATCTGGTGTGAGCAGGATGTAATGCCTCACTCTCATCATAAAGGCATTGTGTCTCTTCTTACATTCAGCATGCTGAAATAGAAATTACAGTGAACTTCATAACAAATTGCATTTTTTTGCAAACAAATTCCAAAAAGTCCAGTGATCCCTTTCTATATACTTTTTTATCTTATTCTGCATTTGATCCTTCAAAGTTAAAATATGGTAATTGCTAAGATTTATAAGCCACTTCAGTGGATTAGGAAATCCATCTTAAGGTTTTACTGAAATGCCAACAGTGTATAATTATGTGTAATTTTTCTTCTTAGTGCCTTTCAGGGAGACTCCCTCCTACACCAACCGTCGACGTGTGATGCCTGGCCCCCTGCCTTCACCCCGTTCCTTACTTCGCTCTGCAAGCGACAACAACCTGAACGGGGACCACGATCACATCCATGCTCAACCAACCAGAGAAGCCCGTGGCCGCCAGGGTCACTCCCCCGTCCCTTCACTACGCAGTCTGCCTGCTTTTGGGCAACAGCACAGCAGCCTTGGAGAAGTAAGCGAAGTCGCGCAGATATGAAATGTAAACCTAAAAAAAAATGAATGCATTCATAAGAAAGAGTGAAGAAGTAAAAGAGAAGGATGATCTCAGGGAAGGTGATTGATGTTTTACACATGTCTTATATCAGAGTCGTCATGGAGAGATCCCTGACAGCAGTCTCCAGAGTACTGGCAGCTCCAGATCCTCCCATTCCCGTTCACCGTCTCTACATCACATGCATGAAGATGACAAACCAGTTCCTAGACGGTCCCACAGCCACGGCTACCCTCATGGGCATGGCCCTCGTGGAAGACTCAGGTTTGTAATAACCTGCGTTCAGTTGCGGTTTTTTTACTCAACTTAGCAGAGAGCTTCATAAAAAAAAGTGAATCTGTTTTTATTTCCTGTTTCTAATTCATGTCTCACATTTGTCAGTCTTGGCAGCTATTCACTTAAGTACATCATTTTTATTGCCCTTGTGATTTTGCTAGCTACTTTGATTTTTAAACCTAATTTCAGAGAGCAAAGAGCCCCATGTGATGTGTCTGAATCACTTGTTAGTCACCAGGCAGCCTTCTGCATCCTATTCCATCTGCTACAGTCTGCTGCTTGTGATAATCATGACATAATATCAGTCAGTACAGAATTTTGTTTATTCATTCAGGCTTTGACATGTGAAAGTCCACCCTGGCTACAAAACTGTGTATTGGATCTAAAAATGTATGTTAATAATGTGGTAGTGACAGATTGAAATACAGATCGTATCAGTTCCATTTGGCGTAGCTGTTGGGTGGCCCATGGGTTGTAAGGGTGCTTTGGTATGATCAGTGACATGATGAGTGTTAGGCATAAATAAAAACCCTGTTTATGTAACAAGCCCATCTGCGGTATCGTGCTGGAATCACAAATAACATACTTCAGATGTGGTATATGTAATCGTACGTGGAGACACAACCACGTGCACAGGTCAGAGACAGACAGATGGAAAGGGACTAATAATTATCACCACCGGGACCAATTGACAGCTGCCAATGTGTGTTTGTTCAGATGTTGGGTTGTGTGACAGATACTGAGAGACAGTGGTGACATTCTGAAGCTACATCTCTGAGTAATGTCACCTAGTTGATAGATAAATACAGCAGATGAACTGGTGCTGCAGGATGCTGGGACGAATTTCTTCCCCTCTGAACCACCAGACAAACTGCACAGTAAACTAGAGCTCTGATCACATCTTGAACCAAAAGATTAAACTGGTTTGCAGACACTTGTTAAGCTTTTTATTATGGTCATATATCAGCACAAGATCACCTACATAGAGCGCCCACCTAATGTGTTTCCGCGATGCCGCACGCTCGGTGCAAATGTACGTGTGTTTGTGTGAAACAGCTTGATGTCTGTCAAGGGAATTGCATTACGGACACAGCTCCAGCCGTACTCCTCTCTCCTCTAATACTCTCTTGTCACTTTACTCCATCCATCAAAGAGACTCACACGCGCACGTTCACAGGCGCTCACGTTTTTTTACCTCATTTTCTGTCATTAACACACAAACACGCAAACACTGCTCCATAGTCTTGTCATCCGTCTGCAGTTTGCAGCCAGAGAACATTCAGCATAATCTGCTAAATCATATAAAAGACTTGCACGCATCACTAAACACTAAAACTCTAGAGTCTAAAGTGTATGCACTAAGTGTACCACAATCAAATAAAATGAAACAAATGAAGTGGAATACATGAAGTAAATTTAGTTAATTAAAAAAAGTCTCCCCGCATCATTAATGTACCTTCCACTCTTTCTGTGAAGCATGTTATGTCCAATAATGATAGCAAAGTAAGTGCGTCCTTTTCTACTATATCTGGTGCTGCGTTGGCGTGAACAGTCACTGACAGAGATATACATCTTTTGCTGTTGTCGTCACTGTGCACAAGGCTTACATAAAGTGACACAAAAGGCAGAACGATGAAAGTAAAGAAAAATGAAATATCGCAGTCTTTTGTACACAAAACGTTGAGACCTTTTTTTTTTTAGTGTGCCATGGATTAAAGTGAGAATGTATAAAAAGCCTAAAACGAGCAGCTGGTCTCCATGGCCAGAATCTGCACCCAAGTGAGACTGATGCTGTCCTTGGATATTTTTTTCTGTAATATTTCTCCCTCCCTCTCTCGGTTTCACTCCCTGACCTTCTGTTTATGCCCGTGGTAACTCTAGAGGCATTATGGGTGCCAGGGGAGTGTGAAATTAGTTGGCCAGTCAACAGCCCACTCTAGCAGGTTCCTGTGGAACTCACCATCACTTCCTCCTCCTCACGTGTGTGCAGTGTTGCCAGGATTTGGCTACCCTTCAGCTAAAGGTTTAGATGGAGACAATAGAAAGAGTAAACAGGTTAGACTTCTGTTTTTTAATTTAAAGATCAAAATCTAACAATAATCAAAGCTGTGGCTACGATTTTCACTCCAACTCCAACTGATGTAGTAGACAGTATGATTAGACATGATTCATGATGTTAATATGATAATATGGCACAGTTTTATCGGGACAAAGCAAATTTGGCTCTGTCGTAAAAGGTTAATTGGCTACTTGCCGTAATGGGCTGACAACACAAAGAGATAATTAATCATCAAGAATGGAGCATTGTCACGTCAGTGTCATTGTCAGAAATTGTGATGTTGAACTGTGCACCTGAGCTCTCAGTTATTTGTCTGGGTTTGTAAGAAAGATTTCAAGCAGCCAGATAGACACTTTGTGATGTTGTTGAGCAATAGATACAATATTTGATCTTCTGTATCCAACTTTCCCCACAGTTGCAGTAGGGAAATATTTTGTCAGTATTTATTTAGAAGTGTATGTATATGAGATGCCCTCTGACCAGGGTACATTAAATAAGAGATGAAGCTGTTCAGTTTTTCGGAGCCAAGTTAGTTTTTTTAAAACTCAGCCAGCACAGGCTCCGTTAGATCGTTGCTTGGGCTGTTGGTTGTTTCCGTCCTTTTTTTTCTCAACTCACGGGAGGCTAGGGGACAGTTTATTTTAAATAAAAAATCAGTCACACAACATTGCCAATAGTTAATGAGAAAGAATTGGCCTCATTTCCCTGCTGATATACTGCACAATGACCATTATGTTACAAATAAAAGCGAGAGGTGTGCTGCTCCCTTCAACTTTGAATTACTTGTTCTGTTACTGTTCTCCTCACCTCTTTTTCAACTTCTATCCTTCCTTTCTATGCATTAGTCACACCAGACACTGGCGGTGTGAAGATTATTCATGGCACCTCAACACGGCCATAGGCCCGAGGTATGCATAGAGGACAGGAAAAGGGTAGAGAAACAAAAAGGAGAAAAAGGAGTGTTGAGCTTGCTCTTCTTTACCTGCGGAAAATTCATACATCAAAGAAGGACACAGGGGAGAGGGACTGATCTTTTAGAGTAATCTAACACAGATCCATTTAGCAGTTTCTCTTCCATCTTTGTTTAAAAGAGTACTGCCCTCTGGACTGGGTTAGCCACACAGTAATTCCACATTATGGTAATTTCATGCAGTATAGTGCATTATGTGCAGTCATTTTAGTGTTGTTTTGTGTTTCGACTGGCAGCACTGTCATCTCACAGCATTAAAGTTCTTATTTTGAACCTACCGGTTGGTTTCTCATCTTTTAGGTCCTCCAGTTTCCCCCCACAGTCCAAAGGCATGCATGTTAGCTTAATTAATAGTTTTAAATTAGTGGTAAATGTATATGTTAGTGTGAGTGGTCGTTTGTCTCTCTATTTTAGCACCGTGATGAACTCATTTCCGGTCCAAGGCCTTCATAGCCGATCTTTGATTGGATAGGCTTTTTAAAAACTAGATGTATGGCTTTCATTTTGTTAAATCTTCAGAGTCAGGTCAGTATTCATCAATAATGTAGATGTGGTTTACTTTTACCTGGTCTTTCTCCAAAGCTGTTGGCATTGATCTGTAACATACCAGTTCTTCAAGTAGCTTAACCTCTGTTCAGCATGCTCTGACACTCATTCGTGGTAGCAGCTTGATAATTATGATAGCCTTGATGTTGTTCCCACTAGTCACATCCTCCAGCTCTACTTTGGGGTTTCTGAGGTGTTTCCAGTTCACATTCAATATGTAATCCCTTCACTATATTCTAGGGCTGCCCCAGGGTCTTCTCCTGTTTTATGTCCCCTCAAGGTTTTTATGCCAAATCCTTTCTGCATACATTAGTCCTTCATCTTGTCCCTGAGGGTCCAAAAACCTGTGAAGCAAACATAACTTTACTGCCTTGTTTTCTGTCAGTTTCCAGAGCTCATGACTACAGGTGATAGCTGAAATTCTGATCAGGTCCCTTTTCACAGTACAACACCTGTATCGCTGCAGGTGCCACATCGATAAGCACTGGCAATCTTTGTTGCTGTTTTAGGCTGACTCGTGAGCAAGGCCACGGGATACATACAAATCTGTCATTTCAGTTAGGAATAAATTGTTTATCAAACTCTTTTAGCTATGATCAAGGACTTTCATGGCTCAATGAAAGGCCTCGGTTCTCCATATTCCCTTTGCACCTTTATAGGAACATGTTGAGGTGTTCTTATAGAAAACGTCCTCTACAAATAGAGCACATCACCTATCTACAGGCTTATGGCCCATTGCCAAGCATAATGTGAAGGAGTTCACATGTGATGTAAGTTACTATAAATCATACCTCCCATACTTTATTTCATATCTTGGGTAAATTTTATATTACAGTGAAAAGTGAATAGTGATTATTTTATGAAAAGACGCAAGACTCTCGTTATAAGGGGTTTGTTTAGCTGAGCTCCTCCCACATATGAGATTGAGGCGCAGTTTAGAGTTATGTGTTAATCACACCAGTTGACTCTTGCTTCTAATTTAGTTTAATGTTAAAGACCCTGCAGAGCATAAGCTGTCTGTGTACAAACAGATTTGCTGTCTAAGACCTTAATATGTTCTGCCCAGTGAGCACAGTCCAAATTCTGCTTTGGCCTTGATAGCCATTAACACTCCCATGTTGCCCAGGAAAGAATGAGAGAGCATATAGCATGTCCATTCATGTGCAGTAAAGCAAAGGACAGACTGATGATCATTAGGATGCAAAGTGTGATGCTGATCATGACTGTGTTTATAATGAGCTCATCTCACCTTAGAGAGCTGTGCTATTTGAGGAAAAAGCCATTTACCTGAGAAGACAAGGCAGTCATGTGAGAAAATGCTACACTGAGGCGGCTTAGTTTTGATGGCATCTGTAAAAATGGCATTTGCAGTTGCATCTTTGGAGTTATGCTGGGATTTCACGCACAGAGACAAACTGAAAGAGCTAGATTTATTAACAAGCTGTTCAAATATTAATCTGTTTTTTTAGCTGTCTTTGCAAAAAAACAAAACAAAATCAATCCTAATTAGGCATCTGATAACTGACATGGAAATGTTTGCACTTATCATATGCAGAGCTTATTGAATTTTTTCCTCGTACACTGAAAATTAAAATGACTTTTTTGTAAAACATATACACTTTTTCCCCAAAGGGTTTTATCCGCTAAACTGGAGTGTAATCACTGGGATAACATTTATTTTTGGATCTTATATTATCTGACATCGCCTTTTTTACTGTATTTGCACATGGAATAAAATCATACTAAGTGTCAAGGTCAGTGTGATCTGTGTAAACTGAATTATTGCTACAGCTGCAGTGCACTTTTTTTTAATCAGGATGGAGCTTTATATAAATCAAATCAAATATTTTATGACAAATTTACAGTTTCAGTTCATGTTTTTGACTCTTCGGGATTATTTTTTTACCTGAATTTTCTTCTTCTCAAATTGATAGTTGCCATCGTAACGGAGACAAATCCTGGTGTCCTAGGAAACGATGAGTATCCATCATACTGTAGATTGCATTAGGAGTTTGTGCACAAGTGCATGCTTAAGGGTAGATGTAATGGGTCCTACATTTGTATTTTTCTGAAGCTACGCTCAATATTGCAGCAAAACAAGAGAAAAGAAAAAAAGTGCAGTGAATGTTTTTGATGATATGGACTCTATAAAGCTCCAGAGAAAGGCAAGGACCCAGCTGCCTTTGCTGAGTGCTGCCACTCAACACCACATGATAAATCAATTAGAAATCCCTTTAACATTTTTAAATAGTCAACTTTTTGTTGTCGGTCCATCTCAGACTAATTTTAGAAAGCTTATTGATACCCTCTTCCAGGAAGCTGTTAAACAATATTATAACCACAGAGAACACAAAACAATCTAGGATATACCCGAAGCAACCAGTTAACTAACTCTTGCAATGGAAATTGCTTTCTATTGAGAAATGTTGATATACAACATTGACAACGACATCGAGAAAGTAGAAAATGTAATAAAAGCCATTTAGGCTCGTCTTGAGTCAGGCAAATCAAAGCTTGGAATAATTTATTACAGCAGAAGAGTATAATTACAATTTGGAGTTTGGGCTCCAAGCTCGTCACTTCCCACAAACATAATACGCAAACAAATTGGGAAGTGATGAGTAAAAATCCCCCCGGTGCCTACAGGTGGATGGTGGTGTGCAGAAGGGGAATAAATAATGCCACGAAGCAGGGGAGCAACACCAATGACGTGGCAGAGGGAAACATGGGAACTTTGCAGCTTAATTAGACCACTAAATTTAGAGGGCGTGTTTGATAAATTAGGTGAGGAAAAGTGACACAAAGTGAGTCTTATGTGTGCAGTTCAGCTGTAGTTGTCTGCTTGACTTAGCTCATCCACTTTGCTTTTGCTTTTTTTTCTTTTTTTATTTCAGGTTTATGATCATTAAGATTTTTATCTGAATTTTTCTAAGTGCCGTTTAAACCTCATCCTTGGCAACTAAAGCAATTTATTACAGGCAAGGAGAGGGCAAAAACAGCTCCAACATCTCCCTTCTGTCTGACACATACAGTAGATAATATGTGTCACCCAGGTCCGGTCAGCTTAATTGCAAGGACCAGCAAAGGTTAGGCTGTGTACACAACCTCACAGTAAGTGTAGTGGATGGGAGGAGGTATATATGAGTTATTGAAATGGATGAAATGGTCCTTTAAGGGTTTTTTTTCCACATCTGTGTCATTCTGACATAGCCTCAACTCCTTGCTTCTCCAATTGTGCACGCTTCCTCCGCTGTGCACGCTGCTGATGTTCAGTGCTCGGGCTCTGACATTAAAATGCGGCAGCCATTCTGGGCCTCAGTCCCAGCGGTAATTGGAAAGCCGTCAGCGAGCTGTTGTTTCGATAGAGAGGGAGGCAGAGAAAGAGAGGCTGGGTCAGATGAGGAGAGCAAGAAAAGCAATAGAGAGTGTGGGCGAGAAAGAGACAAATAATGCTTGAAATCAGGGAAAGAGTAGACCGAAGGATTTAGAAATAAGAGGAAAGGGCACATAAGGTTGGTGAAGGATCGAATGAAGGCTTTAAAGTGACTGATACAATATGCTGAGGGAGAAATGGCAAAAGAGTGAAAGAGAGTGAAAGTGATGAAGAGGTTTAGAGATTTCTTGTCTTTTAAGTAAACGTTGCAGAGAGTAGCATCAAGGTCCAAGTTCAGGGCATAAGAAAACCACTTGTTACAGTAAAAATACAGTCTCCTGTCTATATGTGAAACAGAAACAAGAACATCTCAGATTGGTGAAATGCCATTTTAAGCATTAGATTTTTATTAATCTCCTATTTGTGATTACTATAGATGTATTGCTTTTTGTTTTTTGACCTATGGTGAAGCTCTGATCAGACAAGAGGCAGAGTGACGCTGAATGCAACTTACAGAGCGGTGGCAAAGAAGTGATGAATGAAGACTAGGCGGAGCTCTGCTGCTGCTGTATTAGAATTCACCGCCAGAGAGAGAGAGAGCAAAGATGGAAAAGGAAAGAGAGAGAACGAAGACGCAGCAGAGAGAAATGTTGAGGAGAAAAGGGATAACAGGGTGAAATGAAGGCGAGAGAGGGAAAGGATTTGAGACGAGGGAAAAGAGGGAGGAGCGACAATTAAACCAAATCGGCTGGAGCTTTTTGACCCCCACCCCACTGCACACAAGCACACACACACACATACACATACTATCACTGCCTGCCTCAGGGAGCCATGGTGCGTGCACGTTCGCAGGCAGACAGGCAGGAGATCAATCGTGCTCTGGGACGAGTGTGTATGTCTGTAAGCGACGTGTTAGCAACATGCTGGTGGCGGCATGTGCCGTGCTAGTGAAGGTGCAGTGTTAGCGGGAGCAGAGGGGGCTGTCTGTGTATGTGCCTATGCACACAGCTAGAATGCACATAGAGGGCTTGTGGTGTGTGAATGTGAGCGAGCCGTCAAAGGGGAGGGGAGCCACGGAGCAAAGCAGCAGCAGCAGTAGCAGCAGCATTGCCAGAGTGTGTGCGAGCGTGTGTGAGAGAGCGTGTATGTGTGAGGGGTGGAGGGGAGAGGAGAGGCAGACGCGGCGGGACTCCCGGGAGAGGGAACGGGAGTTGGGGAGCAAACCCAGCCTCTCTCCTCCACAGCAGGACAACCAGGACTCAAGGACGAGGCAAGATCTGTAACCCAGCCTGGAGCATCTGGAATTGGGGACGTATGGGGGATTTCTGTCCCTTTCTGTAGGGGACTTCTGCTGGACACCCAACTCAGGATGTGTTGGACTAAGGGGAGGGGGCTTCCAGACGGATCTGGCAGAACCACACAGAAAAGGAAGCAGTGCAGTTCCTCTAACCGTTATGTTTCTGCTTCTACCTCGATTAGGATGCGAGGGAGAGGGGAGAGATAGAAGGAGGAGGTAAAAGAGAGCAAGGAGGATACTGTCTATTGCTATTAAGGAGGGAAGAGAGGGAATAAGAAGAAGGGAAAGGTGAGGTAGTGACTGTGAGGGGTGTGCTCTCCACTGATGACTCTCCCATGGAACACTGACTATTGACCCTTCATTGGCAGGTGCTGGAACTTGTTTATGAATCCCTCCCTGGCCACCATAACAACCAGGGGGTGTCACCAGGTTTCTGTCCCGCTGACGAACATGTCGGTGACCACAGGCTTCAGTTACCAGCTCCCTGGAATCACCACAGTGACATATGTATTTGTTTACAGCCCTGGCTCTGTGCAGAGAGACCCAAGCCCACCTCATCACACGCCTCCAGCACTGTCAGGCTCCCGCGGGCCCAAACGGAAACTCTACAGTGCCGTCCCAGGACGTACCTTCATTGTGGTCAAGCCCTACACGCCACAGGGGGAAGGAGAGATCCAACTCAACCGTGGAGAACGGGTCAAAGGTAGGATGGCTACTACATGTTTGACTAGCTCCCTAAACCTACTAAAGTAGGTAGTAATAACACTACTGTTGTTAACATGTTGTATTTCATAGCATGACAGTAACTTTCCATCATCACCAATGTTTACGATGTGCTGCAAAGTCCAGAACTACATGTGGCTTGCATGAGTATCAAAGTTGGGTTTCTTGCAGTGTAAGAAAAATCAAACATTCCTATGCTCTCATACTTCTCAGAAGCAGACCAAACCATTACTTCACTACGATTTTTTGTTGCATAGCAGTTATGTAATCTTTCTGTCTGGGAGTCATTTCGCTGATGTTTGAGTTTGACATTTGATTTATCATTTCATTAACCTCTTAAATGTGCTGTTTTCTGCTTTACACAGAGGTGCAGTGGTTTTCCTTTCATGTGTTTGTGTGTGCTTTTGTCTCCATTTATGCTTCACTCAAGACTATGACTGTAATGACGTAGAAGGTAAACGCAATAATATTCTTCTCACCCTGTACCTCTCCCGCACACCACAGTGTGTCAACCCTACACCTACAGTGAAGCAAGTAGCTCTTGGCCCTGTTTGAATCCACTTGTGATGTGTGTACAATCTCAGTACAAATTCGTGATTACTTCAAGGAGAGGGCATGCAAATTCAAACAGGTCCCGTGTGCTATTGGTTGCTGGTTTGCATACATATATTGTGTTCTTCCTCCTCTCTTAGAGTGCTTCTCCCTGAACACACAACTGCTTTTCTCCCTTCTCTTATCGCCTGTCCACAGACACCCAGCACCGCATTGACCCCACATCCCTACATCCTGCCACTTCACATACATCACCATGGATCAAACCCACATTAGCTTAATGGAAACAGTTCCCTCATGTCCTTAGAAAGACCAGAGAGAGTAGGGCAACACTCATGCGGAGACCTCTTATGTTGCTCTCAGATCTACAGAGGCACAGGAAGTACAGATTAAGGGTCAATTTGGCATTTCAATTTGGATTTTGTGCAAACAACCAAAGCACACAAATGTCCCCACACATGATCGACATGCACAAACACACACACATACACACACCATACCTTTTCCCTCTTATTCCTTTCTTAAAAACATTCAGTAGCGTGTCACTCAAACACTACTCTAAACCTAGTGCCACGATGCCTTCACTGTCCTTACACATACAGAAGTATTCACCAAAATGTTTTCTGTCTTCTGTCTTCCCTGACAAACTTTTTTTTCAGCAGACCTCCTCCTGTGTGTTTTGACGCCTCCTTTTCATAGTATCATGTCTGTTTTGTGGAAATACTGCTGTTGTTTAAAGCTATCAGAGTGCTGTTTTTCCTGTAGAAAACCAAGTGATACAGCATTTTATGAAACAGTGATGCATACTGAGGTTGACACAAATGTTATTGTGAATGTGATGACTCAACAGCACCCTAGTATGCTTCCATCCACTGAATGGATCTGCTGTCACTAGCTTTTCTGTCTGTGCAACCAAATCCATAACCCTGCCACTAATGTGAAAACCCACTGCTTTGTCGTTATTTCATGTTAGCCATGCAGGAAACGAGCTTATCGTTGCATAGCTGCCAGCACCCCGGCCCGGCCAAGTTAACCATCTGGCTCCCTTATGCAACAGTGACCATCATAACCATAACTATGTTGCGTTTACTGCCTTTATGTAGTCTCAGGATATAAAATGAGAAATATGTCACTGATGTCAGCTGGTTATTGAAAGGCTTAAGGTCCTGGCCGTTCAGGTTTAATGAGTTTTGTTTTTTGTGGTTTCTTTCTTTTGTGTATAGAACACTTATCTTGTTAATCAAGGTTTCATGTAATTAAGTGTAATTCACTTTTTTATTTATCAGATGGTCAGAAAATTCAAAAAGCTTTTTATCAAATAAAGTAACACAGAGTAAGTCTGCACTCTACTATCATGCCACCCCACAATGCCCATTCTGAGCCTGGAAAAACCCTGTTTAGTAAAAAAATAGAAAGAAAAATCTGTTTAGTGTTTTTACAATCTTAAAAAGAATGACCAGCTCTCTTGGCACAAAGGGAGGCTCAGCTTGAGAAGCCGTTTTCTTTAGGAATGTATGACCTTTGGTTTGATACATAATGGATCTCATCTAATCTGCATTCATAAATGAATGAGCTGCTAATAGTAGTAGGGCTCTTTAACAGTGGGAGACAGGAAGACGTAAAACAAGTAAAAGAGATCGTGGAACATAGGAGGATCGTTTTTCTTTATCTTTTCTTGTCTGATTATCATGACAGATCAAAAACACATTTAGGGATGCAAGAGTAGTTTCTCTATGTGTGCTTACATGAATTTGCATGCATGCCAAGCAAAAATCATCAGTATTATTTGTTTCCCAAAGCTGAATAAGCTACTTCGTTGGACCTCTAACATGAAGATGATTCATTTGTGTTTAGATAATTAGCTCCCGCCCCCAATATCCAACCAAAGCTAATCTCTGTCCTCCTGTTAATGTCCACACATCCTTGCTAATCACCTGCTATACCAGAGGAGCATCCCTATGATGAGATCAGACTGGGTAAATCTTACTAAATGATTTCTGTGTTTCTGTGTGAGTAAGTCTCTGGCTAGAGTCCATGGTTACATGAGCGAGCACAAGCTTACACATGTAACTGTCATTAGCTCACCTGGAAGACTGGCAGCCTGTTGAGGCATAGATTGTTGTATGTTGTACAAGAAAGAGTTTAAAACATCATGTGATCATTGAAGATCTTTACTGATTAGACTCATAGTGTTGTTCTACACAGTAGAATGTAGCATGTAGTATTCCCATTCCATTATGTCTATAATTTTCTCATTTTCTGTTACAATATAATGCATCTAATCCAAAAAAACTGAGAATAGTATCAACAGTGTATCCATTTCTTGTGTCCTGTCACTTTTAGTGAACAATGATTATCTGGATTCAGATGGTAAATACAACAGATCTGTATTGCAACACATCCCATAGCCTGTAGTTAAACGTAGAACCCATAGTTCAAGTAGGAACCATATGATGTCTCTTATATGTATCCACAGTTAATTATTATTGGGGGGGTTTTTTGCTGCAAGATATTAATTGGAAATTCTTTGAAATAAATTTAAAAATCTAATAAAAGCAAACTATTTAAACAGCTTCATTTGGCAGTTGAAGAGGGCTTGCAGCAAAAAGTGAAGAGTCATCCTTAATTACTTTTTTAATATTTTTTTTCACACAGTTTGCAAATTAAAACGCAACAAAAATTTTACAATTTGTGTTGTGCTTGTTAGGATAAACCATACAAGTTAGCTGTTATTGTTTGTGCATTTGCTTGTGCCATTTAAAGTTCTAAAGTTACACGTTTATCAGCTCTTTATTGATTTCTGTGGTGGTTTATAGCAGACAGTCCATGCTGTGAGGATGCTGATGATTACTCTCTTGACAATGATGATGAATATGATGAACATGAAGGTAAAATGATATATTATTGTTTGAAAGAAGGATGACAAAGTGCTTGAACAGCTAAACCATTAACAAGACAAAATTGTGTGCCATTATTTCATGAAAAACAAATAGTTTGACTGCTGGAGGACTGTATTCTGTATCTGTTTTCCTCAGTGAGTGGGAATCTTCAGGCTTTTCTTTAAATCTAATATTGCAGTGTTGATTTGTGGTGTTGTCTAATTAAAAAAGAATGTCCAATATTGTAATAATGTGAAAATTTAAAGTCATTCCACTTTTTCATCCTTCATCAGTAGATGAGTCAGTTTCAGTGACTGAACTAAACAACACTGTAGTCACATTATCATGTACTTTATCATAACCAGTTTCTCTTTGCTTGGAAAAGTTCCCGTTCTTCACTATGTGCTTGTCAGTCTTTTAGTCTGTTGTCTGCAGTCAATGTCTCTAGACAGCCTTGTTCTAGACAAGCAGTCCCTCTGTCCTGCATTTAGCAGGGTCATCCACATCCAGGTCTCCAAGCAGACTGTTAGTGTTAGGTAATGAGTACTGTTCATCTTTTGTCACTCTCTGACTGGTACTGGTATCATGTTGTATTTGAAGGTGTGTTTTTGATTGTGCATCTCTGTGCTCAGGCCCGTAATGGTGGTTCAAGGAAATTAATCTTTACAAGACAATCAAGTATTGTAGTCAGCCTGCGTGTGTTGATCCCTACATTACTTTAAAGGCTCCTAAGACCCTCTCGCATCCCTGTTTAAACTCATTCCCTCGCTCACCCCAGTGTTTGTTTCTGCTCTTTCCCTCCATTGATGTAATCTGATCTTATCATCTGGATGGACATCTCTTGAAGGCCACTTATAGTCACTATGGTAACAAATGAGGACACAACCAGGTCAAGCATTTTGCCAAGCATGTATCCTCACACACATGCACACACACACCCACACATGCACACACCAGTATAAACACACACATTATATAGACTTGCTTAAACTCATTTCACGTAGAACACACATTTAAAGTAATGGATGTGTGTGTGTCATCGTGCTGTCTCCCTACCATCCTACCTCCACAGGGAGCATTAACCGAACGTTCAGGACATTCTTCTCCTCAACAAGGTGACACACTTAAGAGCATGCTTCCGTAACAGTGTATTACATCTCTTGCACACACACACGCGCACCTGTGTGCACACACACCACATACACCTTCTCCAAACGCCATTATAAATCTTGCAGACAGCCATGAAAATGAAACCAGTGCAAGTAATGTTGAGATTAGACATTCACAAACATGATTAATGGGGTTTGGCCGCACCCAATGTGTGCAGAATATTAACACTGCTGTGGGCAATGGAGGATACCTGGACCAGCTATTGGGGCAAAAATACAAAAATACACACCCATATACTGGGGTTTAATGGATTACCCCGTGTCTACTTTTACACTACCTCAGAAGGCATCTGTTACTGCAGTCGGGTTCTTTGGGAACACACACAGTAGCTTAGCCTTTATCTAAAGCACGCATGCTTAACAAGGCCATTGAACTGCAAAAATTTCCAGTTGAACCCATGTTCTGAAGGCACGCTGCTGTTGTACTTATTGCTTTCCAACAATAGCTATCAATGCGTTATTGTGTACATGCGTTTTTGTCAGGGCCAAGAAACAGCGTATTACAAATGAAACATTTAACAGTGCATTATGTTTTTAAATAACACAGCTTGCCTGTATTAACACTAAAATGCATATGGATCTGTCAGTTACCAAGCAACAGGTGCTAAGTGCACTTTACAGCTCTGGCAGGTCATTTAAGACAAAAATAAAAATGTTGAAATAGTGGCTTTAGCTAGTTTCTGAAAAATCTGATTTGGTTCCAAAAACCAATATTCTTTTACATGCATTTCATTTTTAATTTTTAAGCTTTATAGTCATATTCCTCCATTGTCTTGTCTGCAAATCAAGTTGGATAAAAGCCTCTTTTCTAAGTGTTGAATTTAGACTAAATATCATTGTTAGCTTCCAACAGT